TTAAGTCTTTTTGTTGATAACTTTATATGGGAATGAGGCAACCAATAAATCATATTGGGTTTTAATACCCATTTTACCATGGATCGTTTAGAATTTAATTTTTTCGAGCATCTTATCAGATAATTTGCGAAATTTTGGTGCTATTTCAACAATGCGAGAGTTCATTACATGATTATGATGTCCGGCTATACTATTAACCCAAACACTCTCAGCAGTTTTGGGAAAAAAGAGATTGATGTGCCACAAACACCCTATCATTTTTGAATCTCTTTCTCTTCTGTCCTCTTCTAAAATGACCTTTTGAGATTGATGCACGTGAGAATACGAGCATTCATATATCCAACGTCTTGTAATAGTATTATCGACTAGATCTTGTGTGCGCCTTCTTTTACGCAAACAGAAACCTTGCTGCTTAGCATAATCATCAAGATATGCCTCGGCAATTTTCCATGTCTCAAATTTCAACTCTTGATTCAATACTAATGGTTTCATTTGCTCTTCACATTCACTATCATTTAATTCATCATCACTTTGCTGATCATCATCACTATGAATTTCTGGTTGAGCCTTGTTATTTTCTTCTGTTAGAGTTTCGTTATTCTCCTCTGTTAGAGCTTCGTTAACCATATTATTGTCACAAACGCTATAATATTCAAATGATTCATCATCAGCATCTACATCGTCCATTAGAGTGTTATAGTCATTATCTTGAAAGTTATAAGGTTCAGGTGAAATATAATAAGGGAATCCTGAGTTAAGTAAAGATTCAGATGAGATATTATAATTAGAGGATTCTATTATGAACAGAGTAAAAACTTTGGTTATTAAGTAATGGTTTATTATGATCGTAAAATTTCCTTGCACAAAACTGATAATGCAGTTGTAGTATCTTAGATTTTACTCAGCATGGGTTAGGTATCATAACCAGCCGTTTTAGTTGTTTTATGTGTTTTTTATCCGTGTGATGTGTGAATGATATGGGTTTCTTGGCTGTAATACTAGGTATGTATGAATGTTTATTCTTTATTTTTTACTTCTAGCAAACGAAGGAAGAACTAAGATTTTTTTCTTTTTTTTATCTTTTATTTATCATTGCACATATAATATCCACTTATCTTCATATCTCATTCTACTACGTTTACACTTATTTATCATTACACGTGTAATATCCTTTATCTAACTTATATATACTTCATTTTACTTTCCATATACTTTTAATTATCATTACATCATTATGCCGTATCTACTTATCTATCTTATGTTTACTTCATTTATTGTCTTATATTCGTTATGCGTCAGATTAAAAATTGCATCAGATTAAAGATAAACACCGAATTTCATTAGGGTTAGGGTACAAAATTAGGGTAAGATGAGGTATTAGCGAGATTATAGTTATTTTAATCTGACGCGAATATTAGTTTGACGTGCAACAAAATCATATGTGCTATTATAGAAAAACAGATTTCAGTTTTTCAAATTTATAGCTTAACTGGCTTGCTCTATGAAAACTTGATCAATATATATATGTTACGGGTCAAATTTGTTTTTAGATTGTTAAATTTGACCCAGGTCAAATTGTTCCCTAACAGAATTTTAGGGTTAGGGCAAGCTGGAAATATGTTGATGTGGGCCAGGTTTTTTAATTGATTCATTTTACCCGGTTCAAGTTTAGCTTACCTAAAAACCAATTTGGCCCATAACATATATAATACACAATCTTATAAGTGGATTTTTTATAAGCTAAGTCTTGTTAATTAAGTTATGAATCTCAGAAGCCCGAAATTTGATTTTCTTTAGATAGTTAGGGTGAGTTGACCGAATGTGTTAGTATATGGGGGGGAGTCAGTAGAAATGGGACAAATTTTTTCTAAGTAAAAGTTTTTTTAACTTTAAATTTAAATATCTTGTCAA